AGTAGGTCACTGGTGTGCAACCTGGAAAAAGTCACCCGCCCCTTCCTCTCTGTGGCTCTCTTCCTGCTTGCTCTGTTTCCTAGCTGCCATGAGGTGAGCAGTTTTCCTCCACCAGGCCTGCCAGCCACGTTTCTGTCTTGGAGCCAGCCCACCATGGACTGAACTTCTGCACTAAAACAAAGTTCTCCTCTGCTAATCTGTGTATGCCGGGTATTTTGTCCCAGTGACAGAAAGGTAACTAATGAAAGTCTTCGCAAGCAAGATTAAAAAGGTAACTAAAATCAGACTTCTAAAATTTTTATTCAAAAAGAATGGGGAAATAACAAGAAGGAAGTTAAAGCAAATAATACAAGGAAATATTTGGTTATATTTTCTAAGTAAAAATTAGCTAAAGGAATATTGTAGAAAATTAGACCTTTGTTCAACTTTGTGGTCAGTCTTTTTGGGTAAATTCCTAGGAATGTTTTTAAGAAACTCTAAGGAAGAATATGATACAATAATAATAGGTTACTATGGTAGTATAAATGACAACTCTTATTTTATTACCTTTAACACACAAGTGACCTATGTTTTATCTCAGGCATAGGATCAAGTTGGAATTAGTCAGCTCCAATTTCAACTGGCTCCAAACATCTTTATCTGCAACATTTGGAATCTTACCCATTATATATAGAGGAATACACAATATTTCTTGTAGTACTTGTCTGAAAGAGAGATTTAAGGATCAAGAACATTCATTTAATAAAAATAAAGCTTACACAGTCATGAAATGTACCCGTTATTAAGGGTGCTTTCATAGAAGAAGCGCTTTTGGGAGCAAGCTCAAGATCATTCCTCCGACAGCAGAGCTGTGCTGGCTGCCTGCAGGGACTGAGGTGGGAGCATTGTGTTAAGGCTATGGCATGCAAGAGAAAATTTTTAGCCCAGATAGATGTTTTGTGTCCTCCCCTTCTATACAATTTTGGATTTTATTTGGCATTGTACATTATTGAGGTATAATTTAGAGATCAATAAGCTGCACATTTAAAAGTATACCGAATGCTTTATACTGCTACCTGTATAGATTAGTTTGAATTCTCAAGAATTTTGTATGACTGGAGTAATACAATTCATTTGCACAGAAAAATTATTTTGAGACTCACACTAATGCACATATCTGTAGTTCATTTTATTGCAGAGTAATACAGACATCAATATATTAGTAATTACATAGCAATTAATAGCTAAACTAGTAATAGATATAAAACATAGAGATACAGAATGTAGATACACAATAATGTGTTTACCCATCCATTCATCTGCTGATGAACATCTGGCATGTTTCTTGGTTTGGGCTATTAATACTGCTACCTTTTTTCTTTTAGAAAATAACAGTACCTTCTCAAAATGCTAAACATAATGCTACCATATGATCCAGGAATTCTACTCATTGGCATATACAGAGTCCACAGATATTTTGTGTATGAATGTTCCTAGAAGCATTATTCCTAATAGTCAAATAAAGGGAAACAACCTAAATACCTAACAATTGATGAGTAAACAAAATGTGCTTTGGCTATCACAATGGAGTATTACTAAGCAACAAAAAGGAACACAGGACAGACAAGATGTGCCTTGGAAACATTACTCTGAGTGAAAGCAGCCACAGAAGGCCATATATTTTACGATTTCATTGACACAGAATGCCCAGAAGAGGCATATTCATATAGTTTTAATTCATATTTTCTTACTGGCCAATGATACTGGTATCTTTCTTTGAGCTACATGAACATCTATGCATATTTGGTGAACCCTATGTCTACTTTTTAACTGAATGTTTTCTGATCATTGAGTTTTAAAATTCTTTATATAGTTGGCTGTAGGTATAGGCAGGTTCCATATCCTTGGATCAATCAACTGCAGATCAAATTTTGGAAAAAACTGTTTGTTCAGAGCATGCATTTTTGTCATTATTCCCTGAACAGCACAACTGTTTTGAAAACACTTACCTTGTATTAGGTATTATAAGTTATTCAGAGGTGATTTAAAGTATACAGGAAGAGATATACTTTGGCTATCTGCAAAGAAGACACCATTGTATACAAGAGACTTGAGCATTCATGGGTTTTGGTTTCTTTGGCCAGATCCTGGAACCAAATCTCAATAAATACTGAGGGGTAACTGTGTATTCTGGCTTTCAGTCCTTACCAATGTGTGGTTCGTCAATACTTTTATTTCCTTAGCAGTCTTTTTCCACGAGCAGAAGTTCTTCACTTGGATGAAGTCAAATTTATCAATTTTTCAATTCCTGATCATGCTTTCAAAGATATACCAAAAAATTTTTAGCTAACCCCAAATCACATTTTTCTCTTTTCTACTAGAAGCTTAAGTTTAGACTTTACATTTAATTTTTCCATTCAAGACAAGGTCTGGATTATGGGTCTCTATTTCACATATAGCTATTCAACTGTTTTAGCACCATTTGCATCTGGGTTAAAAATCAGTTGCCAATGTGTCAGCTTTTTGTCACTGTGACAAAATACTTGTGATACACACTTTCACGGGGGAAAGATTTATCTTGTCTCATAGTTCTGGAGGTTTCAGTCCATGCTAAGCTGGCCCAATTGCTCAGATGTGTGAGAAGCCAGAAAAGTCATGGTGGGAGCGAACGGTGGAAGAAAGTTGCACACCTGATGGAGTTGTTCCTGATGGAGGCAGGAAGCAGAGAGAGAAGAGCAAGCAAGAAAGGGAAAGAGCCAAAGAAGAACCGGGCTGGGTACAGATACAGTCCCCAAAGTCCTGCCCATGACCCACTCCCTTCAACTGGGCCCCACCTCCTGCTTCCAGGCCAACCAATAAATCATGATTAGCACACCAATGAGGTGATGGAGGTGGACACTGAGGAAGTTAAAGCCTATGTGATCCAAACACCTCTCTGAACACTGCTGGCAGAGACATCAAGCCCTCAATACACAGGTCTTTGCAGAACACCTCATATTTACACTATAATCCATGGTATGAGGAGGCTACCTTTGGGCTCTCTGTTCTGTCTCTTTGTCCTATTTGTCAAACTGGATGCCAGACCACACTGTCCTGACCACCCATGCTATTGTAGGCAACTAAGTTGGAGAAAATATAGGCAGTCAGGGCCAGGCCCCTTGTAACTGTGGGACAGACAGGCACCTCCACTGTGGGTCAGACCTCAAGACAGAAGATAGAACAAATGCACCCACATATTTTCCTAAGGATAAACATTAGGGATTGATACTCTAAATAGGTTTTTATCACCTTGAGAAAGCCAAGAAGATCCACTAATCCGAACCCTACAGGGAAAGCCCCGTTTTGTACTCATGACCTCTTGCTGTGACTTGCTTCCCTATTTGATCCTGATTTAATCAATTTTACCTGAGCAATTATACTCATAATCTTACTGGTTGACCATAGTTTTGTCCCACCTCATGCCCACCTTAGACCCGCCTCATGTCATGGATTTGCTCTACTAAAAAAATCCCTAAAAAAGGCAGGTTCCTGGGCAACCCATTTGGGACCTCTTCTGTCTGTCGCTCTCTCGGACAGGAGCTTTCTTTCCCCCAGTATATTCTACTGATAACCTCCATTGTTCCTAAAACTCATTTTTCCATTTTAGAGAACCCATCTCATACTGGCCATCTGGCAGGCTGGGAGTGTCTTTCCCCTCTATCAGCACCATCCTGCATTCTCACCAGCAACTTATTAGCGCTGCAGCTGCTCCACATCCTGGTTACCACCTGGTATTTCCAGTTCAGAAGGAGTTTGTCTTTAGCTATTACACTGAGTGTATGGTGGTAGCTCATCCTGGTTTGAATTTCCCGGTTTGTCCCCTTACTACTGAATTTCTCCTTTTTCTTAATTTCCTCTACTTTCCTAAACAAAACCCAATACCCACCCCAGGCAGGTAGCAAGGCCTCCTTGTCCTGTGCCAGCTTGCAAAGACTGCAGCACAGTGTGCTTGGGTTATCAGAAAGTACTGCCTTGAATTCAGCCCAAAACTCTGGGGTTACTGCGGCTTCCTCTTTTGTCTTGCAGTCATACCTGATCTGAGAAATGCTAAGGCAACACCAATTCAATGAATGTCTCCCTACCGCCCCACCCTCCTCTCGCCTGGTTTTTAAATAACATCCTAATTCTTTTTCCTACTTTGGCCTTTATCCAACAGAAGCCGTTTGCAACTCACCTGTAAAGTGATCCTTTTTTTAAAAAAAGTTTGATCTCTTACTCTTTTAGCTCAAACCTGTGGCTCGCCTCTCCAACTCAAGAGCGTACTGCCGCCCAGAGGGTCCCCGCCCGCTGGTAAAGGCTCTCTCTGCTGCCGCTCTCCTCCTCCTGCCCAGCCAGGATTTTCTCCTCGGTTCTTCCCTCGTTCCCTGCAGGATTCCGACAGCACCTGCGAGACGTCTTTAAGTCTGCATCTCTAGCTCAGCTCCACCCTCCGCTTCATCCTCCGGGCGGCCTGCTTCCCGTCCCTAACTACCGAGGACAGCAGGGCTCACCCGCAAGGCCGTGCAGCAAGGCCGCCCGCGCTGCCAAGCGGACACAAAGCGGGTCCCGCCGCGGCACGGTGCCCGCCAGCAGAGCCTTTCTAGGCGCTTCCCCGGGACCGTGGGCTGAGCCCCGGCCCTACCCGAGCGTTACTCTGAAGCAGGGGCTAGCTCGGCCGCTGCCCTGCCCCGGCCGGGCTGCATCCCCGCTGCTCCCGCCGCCAGCTTTCTCCTCCCCCTGCCCGGCCCCGCCCGCTGCCGTCGCTGGCGCGCTGCCAGCCGCTCGCGTCGAGCCCAAGATGAGCTCGCGGGCTCTGTATCGATGCTTCCAGCGTCTTGAGGCCACGGAGCCGCCCCACGCGCGGCGGGAAAGAAGACGGGCTCGGTGCGAGTGCTGAGGACCCCGCGCGGACCTCCCGCAGCAGCCAGCGGACCGACAGAAACAGACTTGGCCCCGGAAGCCTCCCTCAGGCCCCGCCCCGGATGTGCGCGCGTGACCCGGAAGTAGTTGTGCGGCCAGGCCGCGAGCCGTGCGTCTTTTCCGGTCGGCGTGGTGTGAGAGTGACGCGACTGCGGCGCGGGGTCCGGCACTATGAGTGTCCCGGCCTTCATCGACATCAGCGAGGAGGACCAGGTGCGCGCGCGGGCCGCGGGTTGCCCCGGGCTGGGCGGCTGAGGGACGCGGG